GTGTGTGTGTGTGTGTGTGTGTGTGTGTGTGTGTGTGTGTGTGTGTTCAGGAGCTAAATCGCTTGTCTACAACAGATTAACATTTGGAGTCAAAACAACTGAAGATGCTGCCACAGCATATTGATGTTACAGTTGGTGTATGCATCACTGAGGCTGAAAGGTATGGAGTTAAATAAAACACTGAAAAACGAAACATTGAAAATATTTTGGCACTGTAACTTTAAAATGCCAAAATATTTTCAATGTATTTTCAAGCAAAATAATGGAGGAATGATGACATTAGTTCTTTGTCTGTTAGCAAAATATCTCTTGAACTACTAAACACATTTTGAAACTTTCCAAAATTAATTATTTAATGTACCTCCATAACTGGTTATTGTTTGAAGTCAAACCAAGTTAATATGGCTGCCACAGCTAATCACGTTGGTCAACACAAAAACGGCTTAACTCGGATAATTGAACAGGTTTTGAGTTAAAATTTAATGTGATAGTAGCTGAGAGCTCTCAACACATACATCTTGTGATATCACACAAATGTTAGAGGAAAGTTAGACCTTTAATTCATCAAGCATTTTGTATTCAAATGTAAAGCTAAAACAAACATAAAGAAATTGGTTTTCTGCAGTCTTGGGTCAGAAAGATAATGATCCAGTTGGAAAGTTGGAATGTAAATAAGACCACAGAGTTATTAACTACACTTTGTGGGGTTAAGCAACTAAACTGTGAAACATTTAATAGTACGCTCAGTGTTTTATAGGGATTTTTATTGCCCATCTGCCATGGGCACAGCTGCAAGTGCCTTTATTTACTGATATGCATGAGACTCCTATAGAAGTCCAATTAAAGTGCTCAGTTCATATAATTGAATATTTGCTTCTCTTTCATATTTAATCAGCATAAAAATCAGATACAGCATTTTTAATGTGCATGCAGCTACAGCCTAAGAATATTTAAACATTGTCTTTTATACAGTCTGAGGGGGAAAAACTGCCAAAACACCAGTTGATGAATGTTCTTCCATATTTTCTTAAAACCCTTTTTGTCCACTAATCTTGTCACAGTTAATGATGTTTAACTTGAATGTGTGACTTATGACTAATAGGCGTGTCAATTAAAAAGACAACGTGCATACGGAGCGTTCTGTATTTTCATGTGGCGTCATTAATCAAGACCAAGGTCATGGAATTTGGAGAAACAGAAAGGCTCAGAGGACTAACGGTCAAAGCCCCAAAAAATGATAAATCTGTGCAATAAAGTAGGTTTAACTTTGCTTTTCTTCATATATGGTTCGTTTTAAATCTTACATCATCTATGATGTATAAATTATGCAATTAATGTGAAACAAATTGAAGAAATGCCAATCACTTGTTATGGAAAAGCAAAGAAAAAACAACTTTGTGCCAATTTCTTTAGCCAGAACTTTCTTTAAATATTTTACTTTTTTTAATTATGCTCTATTTGAGGAACATAACCCTAATAACAAAAAATATGTACTTGTCGGATCATGTAACAGATTACACTCATGTTGCTGGACTAGTGGTGGTGGGCGCTCAGCTTTTATTTACATTTGGATCACAGATTGGTCCTTTAAGCTCCGCTGATGAACTCATGTGTTACGACATTTAAACAGGCAGGTCCGGACAGCCCTTCATAACTCACAAAGGTTATTCTCAGGCAGCAGCTCTAGTTAAATGTCAGGGCGAGGGGTTTGCTGAAATCGAGTAGATTTGATGCAGCCTGCTGATATTTACAGAACCTGATGTGAAAGATGGAGCAAGATGTTCTCAGTTATTCTTGTTCAGCAGTTTAACTGACGCCAAACACAAACTCATTCAGATGTCAGTCAAGATGAGCTGAAGTGTTTTACCGCAAATCATTAAAATATGCTGCTGTTTTTGAAATGTCTGGGAAACATTTGAATTAAAATAGCCAAATAAGATGTCATCCATCCATTATCTTTTACCCGCTTCTTCCTTTCTGGGTCACGGGGGTCACTGGTGACCAAATCCAGACGTCACTGTGCGAGGAGGGGCGGGGGTCAGGTCACAGGTCCATTACAGGGTAAGCAAATGTGAAATTTTAAAATTAACTGTTTATTTTAGGGTGAAATAAGAGTCAGTTCCTCAAAAAAAAAAATAAAAAGGTGTTTTTTTATTTTATTTTAAGAAAAAAGTAATCACATTTTTTATTGTCACAGTTCAAAATAATGAGGTTTTGAAAACTGACTTTTATTTGCCTGAAAAATAATTAAAAGAGGATCCCAACAATCCACAGACTGAATGGGCACAAATTCTTGCAATTTAAAACCACTATTGTCTCACAAGAAATAACAAATTACTTCAAGAACAAAATATTCACCGGTCAGAAAGGTCACAAAGGAGCCAAAGGTGACCAACTAAAGACCTCACATCCTGAGGTGAGGTGAGGTGAGATGCTGGCCTATACAATATTTGAGTTCACAATC